AACACACACACACACACACACACACACACACACACACACACACACTGATAGGAGTTCTGTTTTTGTGGGTGCTTAGTAGAGTTTGGCCAGAGCACATTACCTGACCTTCCTCCGTTTCTCACATGAGACAAGTTTCCAGGTGAGGTGTGAGAGAACAGCCCACATTATCCAGCCAGTGAGAAGACACACTTGCACTGCCGTGTACTCCCCGCGACTGATTGCATATGTGCACGTGTGTGAGTATACGTGTATCCTGTGTGTGAGTATGCATGTACTGTATGTCTGCGAGTATGCACGTACTGTGTGTGTGCATATGTATGGGGATGCACATTTTTTGTGTGTGCACACGTGTGTGAGTATGCACATACCGTGTGTATGTACATATGTGTGAGAATGCATATGTACTGTATGTGGACATGTGTGTCAGTATGCACGTACCACGTTTGCATGTGTGTGAGTATGTACATACAGTGTGTGCATGTGTGTGAGTGTGCACATACTATGTTTGCATGTGAGTATGCACACACTCTCTGTGTGCGTGTGAGTGTGCACATACTGTGTGTGCATGTGTGTGAGTGTGCATGTACTGCTTGTGAGTGTGTATGAGTATGCACATACTGTGTGTGTGCATAGGAGTATGCACATACTGTGTACATGTGTGTGAGTATGTACACTGTGTGTGCATGTGTGTGAGTGCACATATACTGTGTGTGCGTGTGTGTGCACGTACTGTGTGTATGTGTGCATGTGTGTGAGTATGCACATACTGTGTGCATGTGTGTGAGAGTATGCACATACTGTGTGTGCATGTGTGTGTAGTGTGTGCATATGTGTGAGAGTATGCACATACTGTGTGTATATGTGTGTTTACATATGTATTCTGGCTCCATGGGTGTACGTGTACTCGGCTCTCTGTAAAGATGGACAAATAGCTTCTCTCCTCAGAAAACTTCCTGACCCTGACAGCCCGGCTGACTGTGAGGCTGTGCACACGGCCGAAGCTGTTCCCCTCTACCCGCAGCACCCCGAGCAGCACACCCTCGCTCACTCAGAGCCGGGGGAGGCTGGGCTAGTCTGTCCGGGAGAGCCAGCCTTTGCTGGAGCTGCTCAGATCTAGTCCTCGAAGACCCTGGGTTTGTCCTCCTGGATTTCTAGTGGTCCCTGACGACACCTGGGCAGGGCCTGGTGATGGGATTCTGAGATTCCCCACGTGGCCCCGTGTGTCCCGCAGTGGAGATTCCTGCTCTCTCCACAGTCGGGTTAGAGGAATGGTAGTCCCCTGTGACTGGATGTGGAAGCGTGTCTGTACCCTATGTACCTGTCAGTAAGGACGCCCAGGCTTACCTGAGGGTCCTAGAACCGTCCACAGTAATAAAAAATAAAACCAAACTAAAAACTCCCTCTCTGGTGAGACAGCGTGCTGATAGTCTTGAAGTATCACTGTCATTTTTCCTTTTCTTTTTTAAATATGTGAGTATGCATGCACATGCATGTACTTATTTGCATCTTTTTTTCCCCATGGGGCGTATGCACTCACCGGAAAGAGACAGAGAGACACTGAGACAGAAAGTGAGAAATCACCCCTCAAGGGAGGGTCGTGCTGCAGGCCCTTCTCCTCCTGGGATTTTGGGCATACGTGCACAAGCACCCTGCTTGATTCTCAGGCCACCAGGTCTGGGATTTGAAACACGGTCAGCCATATGGTAGTCCAGCGCCTTAACCACCATGCCACCTGCTGGCCCCGACTGTCTTTTTTCAAGGAACACCTTTCAGCAGCCTGCAGACTGCACCTAGTCACAGCCCAGCACCTGCAACATCCCCTCGCCCTGCCAGGAGGAAAACGGAGGCATGTCCTTGCCTGAGGAGAGGCTCAGGAGTGCTACTTCCCTTCGCTCTGACGAGAGTCTGACCCGTCACCTCCCACTGACAGTGTGCGTCTTCCTGGTCCAGCTGGGGCCTGGTGGGAAGAGAGTCCTAGGCACGTGAGTCCTGTCCACGCCCAGGGTCACCTGGGCCTCTCCAGGTCCCTTCCTGTGAGTACACAGGCGTTTTTCTCCCTCTGTCTCTAAGGCTCTCACCAGCCCCAAGGCAGGAAGGGCAGGTCTGCTCCTCGAAGCTCCCACTGCCCTGAAAGCCCTGCTCTCTGCAAGCTCCGGTGGGAAGGGGCTAACAGCCTCGGGGCTGGTGAAGAGCCAGGCACGGCTAGGGACTTCGGTCCCGACAGCCGAGAGTGCACGAGAGGCGCGGGCTCGCTGTAGAGGCACTCCTGGGTGGCCCCGCGGTACAGCGCGGGAACTGTATGGGGGGCTGGATCCCACATGGCCAGCTGCAGTTCGAATCCTAGCCCCACGGTCTTGGAAAGCATACTGGGCACGTGCAAGTAGGTGCCCTAAGTCCTGCCAGACTGCAGCATGACCACACCCTACTGGGGAGAGGTCGCACTCTCTCTCAAACACATGGGCTCTCTATCAGTAGAAAACAAAATAAAATATAAAATATGAAATGAAACATTCCCAAGTAATACATGAAAAATGAAAGGTTGAGTTTGAATTTTACATTTGGAAACTGTGAGGGAAAGGGTCAAACTGGGGCATTACAGCCGTGGCCCTCATGTTAGATGGAAGCAGACGTGTCGGTGAGAGACCACAGCCACCTGGGCGTGCCGAGGGCTGCAGGCTGGGGAGGCCCGGGAAGGCCGGGGGAGGCCCGTTCAGTGCCAGTGTTCAGAAAGTGGGGGGCGGAGGCCAGGGGCTCACCCAGAGCAAATGGCAACAGCTCTGCCCTCCGGGATCCAAGCCCTGGGGTTCTCGAATGAATTGTAATGGAAAATGGAGGTGGAGGGGATCCATGAGGAGTGAGGACGTGAAAGGCTGGAAGCATGTTAGCTGCTGTAGGGGAAGGAGGCCGGAGCGAGGCGAGAGTCTGGGAGGGTTTGTGGGAGGTGTGTTGGCCTGGGGGTGGCCACGAGCATGTTCACCTTGCCGAACTGTTAAAAACAGTGATGATAAAGAGCCGTCAGAGTTTGCAGCGAAGGTGAATCTGTGAATACTGCGTATGTAAGCTGGATAGACAACTTCCGGAGGACCGCTCTGCCTTGATAAGGGTGGCCCTGCGTTTAACTAACAGTCCCGTCTCTAGGCAGAATTGAACAATCCTTTCTTCAGACTTTGAAAGGTGGGATTCCATCGAAACCTCGTTAGAATCTTGTTTTTAATTGTAATTTTCTTTACATTTCATCACTGTACATCTTTACTGCATCCAAAATGAACGTGCTCAGCACGAACGCATTGCACGTTAGTTAGCCAGAGGCAGCACTGGGCACAGGGTCACCAGCACCTGCTGGTAGGGACCCCACCAGCTTTGGCTGCGACGCTCAGACAGCCTCACGTCTGTGACACTGTCGCCCTCTAGTGGTCATTGTAGATCAGGACTGCGACTCCGTCAAAGGCTTGCAGGTTTCTGCGGTGGTAGATCCCGGAGGAATGTTTGGCAAGTATGGAGAGATTATCTTGCCTAGGGCCCTGGAAAGTATCGCTTAGGAAGGGATAAAGCGGGGATCCGATCAGCCTCACCACACTGAGTAAAGGCCCCCAGAAGAGTAGGTGATCATCGCTTCACCCTTCTGTCTCCCTTGGCTCTGAAGCGCTTAAGAGTTCTACCTTATCTCAAACCAAAGCGGTATGTTCTCCACATGTCAAAGAAAGAGAAAATTATCTCTGTGCTACGTCCTGGTAATCGCCTAAATGAAAACACCAGTACAAAGTTAAGCCTGGGCGAGGTGGCAGGAAAGAGAGGGAAGGAAGGAAAGGCATATTACAGAGAGAAAAGACTGCCTCTACAATCTGTGGGTGTGGCCACATTTTTGTAAAATTAAAAATACGTTAGAGGGGCCGGTAGGTGGCGTGGTGGACTCCCACACGGCCCACTGCAATTCGAGTCCTGGACTTGGCTTCCTTTCTCACTTTCTCTCTGTGTCTCACTCTCACTCTGTCCCCCTCTGGTCAAATGAAAATAAATAAATAAATAAAAGTCAAATAAAATAATTCTTTCCAAAAAATGCATTAGAGAGGTGAAGGTGCGAGCCTCCCACACAACCAACCATGGTTCCAATCCCAGACCCGACAACTTGAAAGTCACACCAGGCACGTGTGTGTGTGTGTGTGTGTGTGCCCAGAATCCCGAGCGGAGAGAGGAGAAAGCCCTGTGGCATGGCCGTCCTCCCTGGGGTGGAGGCGATTTGTGATTTCTCACTTTCCCTTTTTCTGCCTCTCACTGGCATGTGCACACACCCTGTGGCAAAAACCTTAAAAAAAAGAAAGAGAAAGAAAGAAAAATAAGAAAGAAAGAAACATAAGAAAGAAGGAAAAAGACAAGAAGTAGCTTGAGAGCTATTTCAGTATTTCACGCCAGTTCTCGTTGCTAATCTATTTGCACGCCTGCCACTCCTTAGTCAAATCATTAAGTTTTATTGGAATAATTACTCTTAATAAGGCATGGAGTCTTCAGTGTGCTGGACTATTTTTAGCAGGATGTTTGATTGCCTCTGTCACCTTGGGGATGTGGCACAGAGAGGGGACAGTGTGCCTCTCCACTGTGTCCCCCAATCTGACCAAACACCTTGGAAGGCTCCCATGTCACTCTCGCTCCCCTCGCCCCTGGGGCTCCTGGCATTACTGCGTCTTAGTAAACGCAGGTGGCTATAACACGACGCCATAGCCTGGGTGGCTGTAAACACTCACTTCTCACAGTTCCGAAGGCCAGGAGTCCCAGGTCGAAGCGCTGACAGACAGATCGTCTCTGGGAGGGCCTGTTTCTGTTCTCAGGAGTTGCCTGCTCGCACAGGGAGTGTACCTCATCTACAAAGAGACTAGCCCCACAACGGGGGCCCACCCTCATCTAGACCACAGGTATACCTGACTACCTCCCACGGGCTCCATCTCCAAACACTGCCCAGCAGGGGCTGGGGTTCCGCGTGAGCGGGGCCACCATGGGGACGCACGTTCAGGTCACAGCCAGCCCCGTCTGACCGTCCCTCACCCCGCTACGGTGCCAGCACAGGCTTCCCCTCCCAGCGGGAGTCGGGGTCCCCTGGTGCAGGGGCTGTAAACTTGTCATTAGTTTTATGTTGGCTGTTCCTAGGACAGTTCCTGCCACGGTTTCCTTCCTCCTTTTCTACCTCCACCTGGCACTGTGCTAGGTGCAGACTTTGAGGTCGGGAGATAAAGTCTCCTTTCTCAGAGATCTGGGAGCTGGTGGGAGAGGAGTGAGGAAATAGAATACTGCAGAGAGGCAGGTGCACGGCGGGGATGGCCCGGGGGCTTCGTAATCGGGAGAACACCCATGCTGCGGGAGGAATGGGATGAGTGGTTCTCCAGGGAGCCTTCCTGGAAGAGGTGTCTGTGCCAAGTCCACCAAGGCAAGGAGGTTAGCTTGGTGGGGAGGATGGGAAAGACCACTCCTGGGAGTGGGTGCTGTACAATCTGTCGATGGGATGGTTGCAAGTATGTCGAAAAAGGAAGGCCACGAGAGGGGAGTGATTCTTCAAACATCTGCGTCCCAAGGGACAGAGTCCCCTGTCGCTGTCCCTGGACGGGACAACCAGGGACAGCGACACTGCAGAGAGAGGCCGTGGTGGGAGTGGAAGGAGCCTCGGATTCCAAGCCAAAAGGTCTGGGTGTTCTCTCCTTGGGAAGAAGTATCGGAAGCTCTCAGTCTCCCTTTGCTCTGAAAATCGCAGCTTTCCGTCTGAACAGTGGCCGGTGATAAAGCAAGCCCATAGCAGTTACGTATCCATGTCATCACATTCATGGACTTCGTTTCAATGCTGTGAGGACGACGGGCCGACGCTCTCTCAGAAGTAACGAGTGAATCGGACGAAGATGGGTTGAAGTCAAAGAGAGGACGAAAGACAGTCATTTCGGATAAGTTGAGCCAAACGGAACACCATGCGAGAGGCCTTTCTAGAGCGCCACGTCGACGCTTCCTCGGCCGCCATGTTCATTTTTTGACCCCCACAGCAAACCCTGCTTTCTAATCGCATTCTAGCCCTAGCTACTCACGAACAGGAGTACAATGGACTTCATGTCTGTGACGTTTAAAGAAGTTGTTTTTAGGGGACCAGCCGTTAGCGTAATGGCTATGTCGCTGGACTCCCACGTAGTCGACGGTGGTTCGAGTCCCGGACCCGGTGGCTTAAACTCACACTGGACGCGTGTGCGTCCGTGCCCAAGATCCCAAGAGGAGAATGGAGGAGAAGGGATTGCGGCTTGACCATCCTCTCTGGGGGGGGTGATTTCTTGCTTTCTGTCTCTCTGTCTCTGGCTCTTTCTGGCGAGCGCACGCGCCCTATAGTGAAAATCTCTCTCTCTCTCAGAAAAAGTTGTTTTTACCTGTAAAATCTCAAAAGCATGCTTGTGTGTGTTTGTTAGGCCAGTGCGAGCCGATTACGCTGGAACTCTGCCTGAACCTGCCCTACAAGCACACGAGCTACCCGAATTACCTCGGCCACCGCACTCAGAAGGAGGCGTCGGCCAGCTGGGAGTCCTCGCTTTTCCCTGCCCTGGTTCAGACCAACTGCTACAGATACCTCATGTTCTTCGCCTGCACCGTTCTGGCCCCGAAGTGCGACGCGAGCACAGGCCGCCGGATCCCCCCCTGCAGGTAACGGAGGGGTCTCCCCTGCTCTCATTCCACCCAGGGAGAGAGGGCCTGAGGCTTAGCCGTGACTGGACAAGCCGGCTTTGCTACAGGGCTCTGACGCAGTGTAGTTAGGAGGTGACAGAGGAGCGTCAAGTGAGCGTGGGATTGAGCCTTCATTCCCCAGGGCCTAACAGGGAAGGCCGGCTGCCTGCCAGGAGAGGCGAGAGGCCGAGGCCCGCTGCTTTAACGGAATGCAGTCACGTGTCTGTCACCCTGCTGGATCAAGAAGCGTTCTTTAAGGTGTGAGTTAGAAGGAGGGGTGGCCCTGCCCCTCTCTCTGGCAACATCGACTTGTTTAAAATGCTCTAATCTGACAACACCCAAAGGAAATGACACAGCAGGGGCCCATGACCCCGGCCCCACAGCGGAAGACCTCAGGACATCGTCCTGCCCGTGCGAATGAAATAAGGGGCCGCACTGAAGAGTGTGGCGTGGACTGCAGAGACGAGTGCTGGCCTGGGGCCCAGAGGCTTACTCCGAGGTCTGTGTCAGAGCGCAAGCCCTCAATCTCCTCCAGCTGCCGGGTGGCCTTAGTCCAACTCCCAGTCTCCTCAAGGCTCAGATCCCTTACTGATTAAATAACTGGGCACGTGGGGCCGGCAGGTGGTGTGGTGGTTAAAGGCGCTGGACTCCCACACGGTCGACTGTGGTTCAAATCCCAGACATGGCAGCTTGCTTTCTCACTTTCTCTCTCTCTCTCTTCTCTCATTCTGTCCTTCTCTGGCCAAATTAAAATAAATAAATGAAGTCGAATAAAATAATTCTTTAAAAAGGTAATAATTGGGTAAATAGTTCGGGGTGGGGTGTTGTGAGATGGATGAGCACACATGGACATACCGTACTCCCTGCTGGAAGCTCTGGGACCACCATGACAATGACGCGGGGACCCGCTGCTGCCTGGCGGGGCGGCCTCCCCTCTGTGCCAAGTGTCAGGTTGAAGCTGCTTCATCGGTGCTGCGTTCAGCGGGGACAGGAACGGGGACAATGGGGACGAGTGTGGGGCTGTGCTTGCCGGGTGGGAGTGGCCACTGCAGAAACCATGTGCTGGGATCAGAGAGCGCTCGGAGCGCTGAGAAAGGCAGAAACTCAGGACAGTGGGCAGAAGGGCGGCCAGTAAGTCACACACGGATACCAGATACGGCAAGGGACAGACACCCAGTCAGGCCAGGAAACGACAAACGGGTTAAATTACTTGGGGAACTGAACAAATTATACGAGATGGGTTAAAATTCAGTTGTAGTCTGGGCAAAAGCAATTCTGAACCTTTTTGTCAAAGGCCTTTTAAAGTATCTCTAATAAAATATCGACGAAAAGTTAGTTCTAAATCTTACTCCACTTCTGCTAAGCAAGCCCAGCGATAATGAATAATTATTTTTAATGGTATTCTATTTGACTTTGTTTTCTTTTTGGTGTGATTGCCCTTGATCACAGCGCTCTTCATGACGTACAAAACGGTTTTTCCCAGCATGAATACGGTGCCTATCAGTCAAGTCAAAGAAATCAACCACAGACATTATTATGAACAGAGAGCTTTTCATTTTGGGATCTGTGAAATGATTTCTCTTTCCTGGATCCCCTCTCTCCCACCCCTCACTCCCCACCCCTTCCTACACTGTCTCCACTGTCTCCAGTCCCTCCCTGCTGTTATAACTTGCAGCCCCACAGCTTCTCCGCAGGTGTAGACATTCTGTATGTACCGAGCTGGGGACATACAATGTGTATTTTTCATTCAACTTTCTTTTCATATATATGTGCGTATATCTATCTATATGTATATATGTGTATAAAGCATATATGTGTGTGTGTGTATATACTTTTATATGTGTGTGTATGTGTGTGTGTGTATGCAAGTCCCCTATGTAACATTCTGTGCTGTAACTGCCCACAGAAATCTACATCCAGATAAATTTATAATTTTAGGGCTGAAGTTTTATATTAAAGTGCCGAAGATGAGGTGGATCCTGAAGTGTTTTTAATCAACATTTCGGTGAACGTTTTCTGGATACTTTAATTCTGTGTCCTAGTTGACCTACCTGTCTTCCATCTTCAGTGGCAATCAATACACATTTGATGTTCTTCAGATATTTGTTTAAAAGAACGTGCTTTCTTAGGACAGGAATAATATGCTAATAAGTTCATGAAGCAAGAGGAGGAGTTTTGAGAAAGTTCACGGAAAATGTGTATGAGGCATGGATTTCAAAAGCACTTTTTTAAGGTTTTTGCCATAGGGCACATATGCTGTGAGAGAGGCAGAGAGGGACAGTGACAAATCACCCCCAGTGGCGATGACCACACTGCAGTCTCTTCCCTGTTCTCTCGGGATTTGGGATTGGGGGCATGCGGGCACGCCCTTGACCTGACTTTCAAGCCGCTGCGTCCACGACCTTGGACTGCAGTGGGCCATGTAGGAATCCAGTGCCTTAACCACTACGCCACCTGCCGGCCCTCAAATTCTTAATACCAAAATAAACTCGGACTTTAATTCCATTTATTCTGGGATTTTTTTTTAAAGAGATTTTTGCCATAGGATGTGAACGCTCACTGAAGAGACAGAGAGAGAGAGAGAGAAGGTGAGAAATCACCCCCCCCACACCCACCCCAGAGAGTATGGGCATACCGCAATTCCTTCTTCCTTCTCCTCTAACGCACCCAGCATGAATTTCAAACCCCCGGGTCGGGGACTTGCACTGTGTGTGATCCTGTGAGAGTCCAGCGCCTTAAACACTCCGCCACCTACTGGCCGCTTCCGTGGATGTTTTGAAGTCCCCGCATGCATAGCTTTGGCCAGGTCCGATTGTTAATGTTAACTTTGAAATTTTAAGTTACGGATCTGAACCCGCGAAGCCCGCCAAGCCTGTAGCGCGCTGAATACCGAGGGTCGCTGGACCCCTCTTGCTCCAAACCACCTTCGGAGAGGGCGCGGCGTCAGGGCTGCGGCCTCGGGGAGTCCGGGGATCCGGCGGAACGGTGCCCCCTGGAGTCTGCTGTGCGTGTTCCGCTTACCCCATTTCCCAGAAGCAGCGGGAAGGGGGTGAGCCAGGCGCCACACAGCCTTCCAGGTACAGGAGGACGCGGGCGGCTAATGAACGGCGGGCCCTGGATTACGTGCGCGTTTATAATCCGCAGCCCGACCTGGCAGCCCAGCGGCGGGGGCGGGCCCACGGCGCCCCCCCTCCCCGGCCCCCCGGCCCTGCCGTGGGAATGCCAGGCTCATCTTCAGCCCAGATTTCTAGGCTGAACTGGCACCGAGTTACGTTTGCCTCGCCCAGACTGACCTAGACAGCTTTCTCTGAAACGTCTCCGTTCAAGGGGCCAGTGGATGGCGCATGGTTAAGTCGCTGGACTTCTGTGTAGTTGAGCATGGTTTGAGCCCTGGGCCTGGTAGCTTGGCACACATGCTGGGTGCATGTGACTTATCGCCTTTTGTTTCTCTCTGTCTTTCTGGCGAGTGCGAGCTCCCTATAGCAAAAACCTCTCTAAAAAAAAGGAAAGAAAGAAATGAGAAATGTCTCCGTTTGATTGTCACCTTTCTCTACCTGTTTCCCCCAAGACTGGAGCTCTTTTCTGGAAGGTCTGTCCCATTTTAACTCAAAAAGGAGAACATGATTGATTGAGATTAACTTATATTTTAAAGACTGAATGTTTTCTCTTTTTTTTTTTTTCGGAGAGGTTTTTGCTATAGGGCGCATGTGCTCGCCAGACAGAGACAGAGAGACAGAAAGTGAGAAATCACCCCCCAGGGGGGATGGCCACACCGCAATCCCTTCGGGATCTTGGGCAGGCACGCACACGCGCCCAGCGGGAGTTTAAGCCACCGGGTCCGGCACGCAAACCATGGTCGTCTACATGGGAGTCTAGCGACATAGCCATTACGCTAACTGCTGGTCCCAAGACTGAATGTTTTGAGAAGAATATATTTGAAAGGGAATAGGAAATTGACCTAGGGACTTACTTTGGTTCTGCCACTTTTATTTTTTAACTATGTAACTGATTTCTTAGCAATGTATCTAGGCAAAACCCTGTTCTGTTTTGTTTTTCTCCCATGGGCAACAAATCTGTATATGTGTGAGATAGACTAATAACTCAATTTAAAAATATTCAGACCAGGGCCAGCAGCTGGCGTAATAGCTATGTTGCTGGACTCCCACGTAGTCGACTGCGGTTCGAGTCCTGGACCCGGAGGCTTAAACTCACGCCGGGCACGTGTGCGTGCATGCCCAAGATCCCGAGAGAACCCCCTGGGGACTGATTTCTCACTTTCTGTCTCTCTGTCTCTCTCTGTCTGTCTGGCGAGCGCACGCGCCCTATAGCAAAAAAAACCTCTCAAAAAAAAAAATTCAGAGCACAAATGAGCTCGCACACATGAACACATACAGACAAGGCTTTAAAAAATTAGCTTTGTTTGAACTGCTCTGAGTTGAGTGTAGAGAGACTCGGGAGGAAAGCTTTTCACCGGCACCGGCTGAAGCTGAAGTGAGGGCGAGGAGGCTCGGGGAAGCCAGGGCGGCAGCGAGACGCTGGCCCACTGAGGGTGAGGCCGCCGTGCACTGATCACCCTGGGGGGCAGAATGTCCCAAGGCACGTTGGGGACTTCCCTACCTGCAGAACCGGGGTGGGGAGGAGGATGTGTCGGTTCGAAAGATAGAGGAGGAATGAGAAGGACGAGGTGAGAAGGGACTCTTCCTGGACACCTCGCTGTTTCCGTTTCTCTATGAAGTTTCTTTTGCTGAAAGGCTTGCTCGAATGCATTCTCTGCTTTGTTTTGTTTCTTTAAGAGAGATTTTTACACGCCCCAGGGTATTGGCTGCACTGCAACCCCTTCTCCTCCATTCTCCTCTCAGGGTTTGGAAAACGCGTGCACACAAGCCCAGCGTGAGTTTTAAGCCACCAGGTCTGGGACTCGAACCGCGGTCGGCCGTGTGAAAGTCCAGCGACATAACCTTTATGCCATCTGCAGTTCCCAGATGCATGCTCTGTGGAGGTCGTGCTCACTCGGCTTCCCACACAGTCAGTGCCCGTGCGTCTCTCTGTAGTCACGTGTGGCTTCATGCCAGGGCCAGGCACTGAGAAACGGGGCACTAAGCGGGCTTGTGTGTGACATCGCGGGGTGTCCCTGTGCAGACAAGACAGCCTGCCACACAGCCCGACCTGCCCGGGCGCGGTGCTGTGCTCCGGCCGCGTCACAGGGCCACCTCGCACGTGCCACCAGGACCCCGACGGACGGCTTTGGCTATATCTGGACACACGTGCTATACCACATGCAGACGCACGCACACACGGAATTACAACCCTGCGTGCGTTCCTGCCGTATGTCACAGGTGGAGCTCACCTGCGTCTCATGTGTCGCCCTCCTTGGTCTTTCAGAGCGCTGTGTGAACACGCCAAAGAGCGCTGCGAGTCTGTCCTCGGGATCGTGGGCCTCCAGTGGCCTGAAGACACGGACTGCGGTCAGTTTCCGGAGGAAAACTCAGACAATCAGACCTGCCTCATGCCCGATGCAGACGTAGAAGGTTCATTTTTACATTAATTCCAGGGGGGTGTCCAGAATGGATGAGCATGTCAAGTTCCTTTTGAAGTCCTTCTGGGTTGGGGGAAGAGGCTGTTTGTTCTGTATTTATAAGGTGGTCGGAAAAGTCACGACACATTCTCACATAGGAAAACCCACACAAGTACGTCATGACTTCTCTGACAACCCAACAGTCGCCGCCAGGCTGCAGAGGTGACTGCGTCTAGGCGCTTGACACTGCCATCATAGTAAATAAAAACCAATTAAAAATAAAAGTGAATAAACTCAGAAATGAGTTTAAATTGTAGGGTATTTTTTTTTTTCGAGAGAGAGTTTTGCTATAGGGCACGTGCACTCTCGCTGGGGAGACAGAGAGACAGAAAGTGAGAAATCACCCCCAGGGGGGATGGCCGCACCACAATCCCTTCTCCATTCTCCTCTCAGGATTTTGGGCGCACATGCGCACGTGCCCAGTGTGAGTTTTAAGCCACTGTGTCTGGGATGTGAACCATGGTCAGCTACGTGGGAGTCCAGCGACATAACCATTAGGCCATCCGCTGGTCCCTGCAGGTGTGTTTTGCTGAAGACATACCTCATCCACACAGTTCATTGTATGTGGATGCTGCTTTTAAACCAGCGTCCTGCAGGTAGTGGTGAATGTCAAGGCTTAGAGCATTCTGGAACCTTGGCAAAGAGGGTCACTGAGCAGAGAAGTGGCCCTGGGCCTGCCGCGCCGGGCACCCAGGTCTGGCAGTTGTTAGTCTGTCGGGGGGACATGACCCCAGCATCTTCACACAAGCATAGTCTCGAACTCGCTGATCTAGCGAGATACTGCCAGGAGCGAAGGTGAGGGTAGGAGAGCCGGCCTGGGCCACGCGGCCTGACGGAGGACCAGCCCAGCCCCGGCCTCGGCAGCAGCTCCTCGCCCACAGCCCAGGTGTGAGCACAGGGCTGACGGCCCGCATTTCTGCCCACTGAGAGGGGTACTGTTTCTGACAGAGTGCTCACCCAGCCACTTCAAGTGCCGCTCGGGAAGGTGTGTCCTGGCTTCGAGGAGATGCGACGGCCAGGCCGACTGCGAGGACGACAGTGACGAGGAAAACTGCGGTACGTGCGTGGGGCTCTTTTCTTAAATGTACTGTGGTAACTGGTTAGGATGAAAACTGCGTTAAAAAATGTAAGCCATAGGGGGCCAGCAGGTGGCGAGGTGGTTAAGAGGCTGGACTCCCACATGGACGATTGTAGTTCAAGTCCCAGACCTGGTGGCTTGCTTTCTCACTTTCCCTCTCTTTCTCTTTGTGCCCTATAGCATATTAAAACAATAATAATACATAAAATTAAATAAATGCTTAGGAAAAAATGTAAGCCATGGGGCCAGCAGGTGGCATGGTGGTTAGGGCACTGGACTCCCACACGGGCAGCCGTGGTTCAATGTCCAGACCTGGTGGTTCGACAGTCATGCTGGGCACGTGTGAGTGCTCGCCCATAATTGCAGGAGGAGAATGGAGGAGAAGGGACTGGGGCGTGGCCATCTTCCTGTGGGGGTGACATCTCCCTCTCCCTCTCACTGTCTCTGTCTATCTCTCTGGCAAGCACACATACCAGATGGCAAAAACCTGAAAAGGAATGTAAACTAAAGATAGTTACTACGATGGAATGCTCGCTCATATAACTTCTTGAAGGATCAAACTCCGAGGCATGTATTAATAAATGTTTTTCCTGGTGATTTTTGATTTCCCCTAAATTCTACTTCTGTCTCTAACTTTGATGATGTATGTGTAAACGCTAAGTAAAAAGAAAGCACTTCATAAATGTAAAGAGTAGCTTTATTATTAATTCATGAAGCAGTTGTTCTCTCTTTTAAAGTCAGACAAATCGTGTCTTTGTATCTGATTCAGTGCTACTAAACAGGCATCTAAAGAATGAGAGTTCAGGTCCAGCATTCAATTATAATTGGGATTCATTTAAAAAAAATTAAAGAGTTATTTTATTTCACTTTATTTTAATTTCATCAGAGAGGGACAGAGAGAGAGAGAGAAAGCGAGACAGAAAGCAAGCTGTCAGGTCTGGGATTTGAACCACGGTTGGCCATATGGGAGTCCAGCACCGTAACCACCATGCCACCTGCCAGCCCCTAATTGGGGTTTACCTCCAGGCCCTTTCTCGTTTTGTCTCTGTCTGCAGAGGATAGAACTCCTCCTGACATTTCTGTCATTGAGCTCCAAAATCACCAGTGGAAAGGCCAGCGGTGGCAACGGTAACTGAAGGGGAGCAAACTCCGTTTTATTTCCCTGCAATCCTTTGTGCTTGTAACCTCAGACTGTGTGAGGGAACAAAAAACAGGCCCTGCTTGTTAATAAACATGTTCTGAAGTAAGGCAGAATGCTTGAAGGGCTATCTACAGAATAGTTTGGTTATGATTAAGCAGCTTGTCCTGACTTTTAAAAAAATTTCAAAAGACTTTTATTTTTTTTCATTAAAAGCACATAAGGCAATACATCTTTTGAAATAATTTCATTCTTTCAGCCTTTGAGGTATGAAATATTGCCTTGCTTCCCCGAGTGAGTGTTCTGTAGTAGACATTGCCCTTCTGGTCTAGACAAAATGTCACGAGCAATCAACCGAAATCCCATCAGCTATTATAAACATGGACAAGTGCACCTTCTGGAAAATCACAGCTGTCAGAATGATGGCACAATGGCCAGGGGTAATTTCGTTAGGGAGGAACATCCAGTGTTTGGAGAACATACATTGTTTGCTTGCTTATGGTCTTTCTTCAAAGAAATAAATCAACCCTGATTGAAAATCCCTAACATAAGTGACTTGTTGAGACCACATTGGATTTGTTCAGTTAACAATGGCTTGGATGGGCTATGGTATTCTGAGCTGTGATTTAAAAAGGATTGTTTTAGATAGCTCAGAGTGGTTGCATATTACATGGAGGTAGCTAGATCTAAATCTACAGCAGAGAATTAAGTGTTTGAGCGATGTAAAAGTGATTGAAAATCCCTAACATAAGTGACTTGTTGAGACCACATTGGATTTGTTCAGTTAACAATGGCTTGGATGGGCTATGGTATTCTGAGCTGTGATTTAAAATGGATTGTTTTAGATAGCTCAGAGTGGTTGCATATTACATGGAGGTAGCTAGATCTAAATCTACAGCAGAGAATTAAGTGTTTGAGCGAGGTAAAAGCTTATTAAAAAAAAAACACACACACACAGAAAACACCAGGCTCCCCCAGACGATAAGGTCTGAGTTCTAGAATGCATTTCTTTCTTTCTTTTCTTTTCTTTTTTCTGTAGGTTTTTGCCATAGGTTGTGTGCATTCACCAGAGAGAGACAGAGAAGAAAAGTGGAAGGGATGGCCATGCCACTATCCATTCTCCTAGGATTTTGGGCACACATGCACATGAACCCTGGGTGATCTTCAAGCCTCCTGGTCCAGGACTCGAATTGTGGTCAGCCATGAGGGATTCCAGTCCCTTAACCACCATGCCACCTTCTGGCCCCTATAGAATGTATTTCTGCAGAAAAGAAATCCAATATACTATAGTAGAGGATAGGGTTTAAGTCACCCTAAGTGTCAGGTTATTTGTTAAATAATGAGTTTTCATCAATACTTTAATCACACAATTAAAAGCATACCAAAACGATAGAATAAACACTCAAAACATTGACAAGAGTATTGAAAGCTCTGGGTAAGAAAAATTAAGGGTGGGTAAGAACCAAATATATTTGGAGCTTAATTGCTCCAATGGTATCCATTTATGCAAATGCACTTACTAAGTTTATCAAAGCAACTGACAGTAGGCAGTTCCCTGTGCTTCTTCTGAGACACGTGCATGTCTGCAGATGGGCTTGTGCGGGGTTCGAGGACACCGCTCTGCACAAGGTCAGGCTGCTGAGGGCCCAGCAGGGGGCCTTAGGGAGCCTTCCGGTTCCCATTCCACTTGCTCGCCTTTGTCTGTTTTCCGGCGTGTGCAGGCACGCCATCTGGTATGCAGACGCCAGCAGAGCTGGCCCTTGTCCTGTGGTCCATGTCTTCCTGATTTATTCTGCCCGTCATGACTTGGAATGCACGCTAGGACTTGGGCTTCACTGACCACTGTGGTGGTTAGCTACCCGCCCTTGTGAATCTGCAGCTCCTAGAACTTCTAACCGTTCTGAGGGTTATCCCTATTGAGTTTTCCTCTCAACGCAATACTTACTTAATTCGGTTATAAGATAACTGATGTATTAGAAGTTGATTTTGTTAAAGGTTTCCCTGACACTTTTGTAACAGGAAAACAGGGTAGCTGAAGCATGTAATTTGTAAATGCTGCATTTTTTAAACATATGCATTTGTTTGGCAATGAGCAGCAGTGCTCTTATGGCTCCTGCTCTCGCGGTCAGTTTCTGTTGTTGAGGTTGTTTGATGGGTAACTGCGAATGTCAGCTAGGGCTGAATGGGATCGGTATCAGGAAAGTTCTCAACAAGTGTCTAGAAGGATTACGCAGACCTGAACACATCATTGCAGAGACGGGAGAGTGACAGCAGCGTCAGCAATGTGCCAGCGCAGTGGCCCGTCACTGTCCACAGGGCTGCCGGCGTGTCAGGACTGAGCACACCGTATGGATGGAGCTGTCGTAAAGCTCGCAACTGAATCGAATGAGTTTATTCCCAGCATCACATTGTCCAAGCATTGATGTCTGAGCGGCAGAGACCGAAGCAAAGATCTGAGCAAAGGCATGAATAAGAATGACGTAAGAGGGAAGGGCAGTGTGTGTGGGCCTAGTTGTCACCCTGTAGGTTTGAGCCCGAGGCCAAGGCCAGGTCTTGCCAGCTGTGTCCACCGTTCGGGCGAGCTCCAAGGGCAGGCTGGCGCCAGGCCTGAGATGCACTGGGTCGTCTTTGCAGGGTGTAGCTCAGGAGGCTCCAGCTAATGTAGGTGCATCACATCCAGTATAAAAATAGCATCCCTTACCGTTGGGCCATAAGAAAAGTCATGTCGTAGTTTTCTATGCAAAAATGCATCGTGACTTCCGAGACCCAATACAGCATAATTCCCAACTGAGCACTGTTCTAAATGAAAAGACATAAATGTGGGGAAGGCGGAGAGCAGGCCCAGGATCTGGTGTGGTTAGTGGGGAAGGCGAGAGCAGGCCCAGGGTCCGTGGTGGTTAGTGGGGAAGGTGAGAGCAGACCCAGGGTCTGGTGTGGTTAGTGGGGAAGGCAGAGCAGGCCCAGTGTCTGGGTGTGGTTAGTGGGGAAGGCAGAGCAGGCCCAGGGTCCCCGGTGGTCAGTGGGAAGGCGGAGCAGGCCCAGGGTCCGCGGTGGTTAGTGGGAAGGCGGCAGGCCCAGGGTCCGCGGTGTTTACTGACTCTCTATTTGCCTTTGATGATTAAGTCACATCATCTGTCTTTGATCCCTTCTTGATCTCACAGAAGATGAAGCCTCTCAGAGTGACCTGCAGCAAATCTCAGAGCCGAAATCCCCCTGGCGTGGGTTCAGAGCTCTCCTCTGACATTTAGCGTGTGACAGCTTGATTTCAAATGTTTTCCAAAGGCCTCTTTTCCTGCCCTCTTGGTCTTTAATATTATTCACACGACTTATCGGAGAGACAGACTTAACCAGCTCACTGCACGTTGTCAGACTCTTCCTCTCCCCCTGCGGCTGGCGCAAGGGGCTGGGGCGTCCTGCAGGTGGTGCCCCAGCTGTGCCCCCCCAGGCTCTTCAGGACTGACCTCAGGTCGCTCAGCGGGGTGTCGGTTTTGCAGGAGGCTCCCTCCTTCCCTCTGGGTATCTCACGGCCAGTCTCTGCTGTCTTAGGCAGGCAGCCTGGAATGCAGAGAGCTCTGTGTAGACCTAGACTTGGATTTAAACCCTAATTCAACACTTAGAGCCTGGGCTATTTGGCGGTCCCTTAGCTTCACTGGGCCGCAGAGCACAAAATGCAGAAAACACTTACGTAATCCCCCAGGCTCGGAATGCTTCTAACACTCCCCACTCAGTGCCCTGGAAGGTGGTAACTCCGAGCCTGGCTGCCAGGTGGTAGGAAACCTCAAGAGGCAGTTCCAAGTCTGCTCAGGGATCTGTGAGGGAAATCATTGGGTCTGGCCTGGT